GGCGCCATGTTTCCTTCGTCGATTGCCCTGGTATGTCCAACCCAATTCCCCGTGAAGCTAGCTAGTTAAGCAGGTTTGCTAATCATCAAATACTCTAGGTCACGATATTCTCGCAAGTTCCCCCGTCTTCAGCTCTCGGAGACCGTCGCTAACCGATTCTAATAGATGAGCACTATGCTTTCAGGTGCCGCTGTCATGGACGCTGCCCTGCTCCTGATTGCCGGAAACGAAACCTGCCCCCAGCCCCAAACCTCCGAGCATTTGGCCGCTATCGAGATCATGAAGCTCAACCACATTGTCATTCTGCAGAACAAGGTCGATCTGATGCGGGAGGACAACGCGCTCCAGCACTACCAATCCATCCTCAAGTTCATCCGCGGTACCGTCGCCGACGGCTCCCCCGTCATCCCCATTTCTGCCCAGCTGAAATACAACATCGATGCGGTGAACGAATACCTTGTAAGATACCAAAATATCAGACATCGTTTCATTGCAGTTGCTAATGCCTTTGAAGACCTCCCACATCCCCGTCCCCATCCGTACTTTCGACCAGGCCCCCCACATGATGGTCATTCGATCCTTCGATGTTAACAAGCCCGGTGCTGAGATTGAGGAGCTCAAGGGTGGTGTTGCTGGTGGTTCCATTCTCAGCGGTGTCCTCAAGCTCAACGACGAGATCGAAATCCGCCCCGGTTTGGTCACCAAGGACGAGCACGGCAAGATCCAGTGCCGTCCTATTTTCTCCAAAATCGAGTCTCTCTTTGCTGAGACAAACACCCTCAACTACGCCATTCCCGGTGGTCTTATTGGTGTTGGTACCCGCATTGATCCCACTCTTTGCCGTGCCGATCGTCTGGTTGGTTTCGTTCTGGGCCACCGCTCCAAGCTGCCCGCTATCTACACTGAGATTGAGGTTAACTACTTCCTGCTCCGTCGCCTGCTGGGTGTCAAGACTGCCGATGGTAAGCAGGCTAAGGTCGCCAAGCTGGCTAAGAACGAGGTCCTCATGGTCAATATTGGCTCAACTGCCACTGGTGCCAAGGTGGTGAATGTCAAGGCCGATGCCGCCAAGCTCAGTCTGACCAGCCCTGCCTGCACGGAAGTCGGCGAGAAGATTGCCATCAGTCGTCGTATTGACAAGCATTGTAAGTGATCGCAAATCCAAGCTAGTTGCTGTGCATCAGATACTAACAGTCTCTTTCTCTCAGGGCGTCTGATTGGTTGGGCCAACATCGTTCACGGTGTGACCCTCGAGCCTGTCCTTAACTAAAGCTGTATAGCTTTGATGACGTCTAGTTCCGAGGGATAATCACTAGGTTTGAGATGTGTCGCTTTAGGAGAACCAGAGTTTCCAGCGACCAAGTCTCAAACCGCCGACCCTCGGGCTCACGCTCCGCGGTTTTCAATCGCAGAAAAGTTTTACGGTCACGACGAGTCGGAAAAGTGATGGCATGACATTTACAGATTCCCCCCGGTTGAATAGAGTGGAGGTTTCTGCAAAATCCTATACTGTCTCCTTGGTCAATTGTCCGCCTCGGGCACGTCTATGGCCCCCACTCGGAAGGGTCCAAATGACATGTCGGCAACTGACACGAAGGATGACTTATTATTGGGATATGATTCACGTGATTAAGAGAAGGTTTATTTCTTTCTCTTTTGTGTGTTCTAGGGAGTTGATTTTGAAGAGGTTTTCTATTTTACATGTTTCAACTGTTCCATGCGTGCATATTCAAGTCCTGTGTAGATATATATAGGTCTTGCGACTCCAAAGAAACCTTCCAAGGTTGGAATGTAACCACACCAAAACTCGATCCTTTAAGCTATACGAAAGGTGGGCTAAATCTTCAGTTTTTAGCAATGGAATTCGAACCCATCTGTATGTAATTATTGCAATTGGCATGAAATCAAGGTTCCTAAACAACTTGAACTCCAGCCCTGGAGGGCTTGAACTTGCAGGGTAGGTTCCTGCAGGTGGACGTATTACTAGTAATGATCGCCAAGCGGTTCCAGGGCTGCGGAGCTCGTCACGGTGTTGATCTGACTAAGGCGGCTATCGCCTCTAGTTAACACCTAAGTAGCTTCTTTGATCACAACCCTCCCTTGACATTGTCGCGCGGTCTACATCATGTGGATTCTTGAGGTGAGTTTCTCAATTTTAATCAATATTGGATATTTCTTTTACAAGGGGCCCCTTTTGAACCCATTCCTAACAACTGCACTTCTAGCAACTCGCGCGTCTTCTCGACAGGCCGCTCTTCCCTTGGAAGAACGTCCTCGTTGGCTTCTCCGTGGGCCAGTTCGTTCTGGAGGGCCTTCTGACTCTTCGTCAATATAAGGTACTTCAGCGTACCAAGGCCCCCAAGGTTCTGGAGGGCGAGGTTACCCAGAAGGTCTATGACCAGAGTCAGGTAGGTGCTGTTCAAGGTTGAATGAGTAATGAAACACTCACTAATCAACAATTCTAAATACAGGCTTATGGACGCGCAAAGGCGAAGTTCAGCATCTTCTCCGGTCTCTATGGTCAAATCCAAAATCTTGCTTTTATCTACGGCGATGTTCTTCCCAAACTCTGGAGCGTTAGCGGCTTGCTGCTCGCACAGTATCTCCCCGGTCGGTTCCAAGGCGAAATCTCGCAGACACTCGTGTTCATCTTCGGTTTCAATATCCTCAGCACTATCCTCACGCTCCCGGTCTCATATTACCAGACCTTCGTGCTTGAAGAGAAGTTCGGTTTCAACAAGCAGACTGTTGGTCTCTGGGTTACGGATATGCTAAAGGGCCAGATGCTAGGCATAGTTCTCGGAGCTCCCATCATCAGTGCCATTCTCAAGATTGTTCAGACGACTGGAAACTCGTTCTTCTACTATCTGTGGCTATTCGGTGTCTTCCTCCAGGTGTTTGCGATTACTATTTACCCCATCGTTATTCTGCCGCTGTTCAACAAGCTGTCCCCTCTCCAGCCCGGTGAAATCAAGACTGGTGTCGAGAAGCTTGCCGAGAAGCTGAAGTTCCCACTTTCAGAGCTGCACGTTATCGACGGTAGTAAGCGCAGTGCCCACTCCAACGCCTACTTCTATGGTCTCCCCTGGAAGAAGCACATTGTCATCTACGACACCCTTCTTGAGAAGAGCGAGCCACAAGAGGTTGTTGCTGTGCTGGCTCATGAGCTTGGCCATTGGAAACTCAGCCACACCACCAAACTCTTCGGCATTGCCCAGTTCCACATGTTCTACATTTTCTCTCTCTTCTCGGTCTTCGTCAACAACAAGTCTCTTTACCAGTCCTTCGGCTTCATCAAGGAGCAGCCCATCATGATTGGATTCCTTCTGTTTTCCGATGCTCTTGCCCCCATGGATGCCATTGTCAAGCTGCTGATGAACATCCTGAGCCGCAAGTTCGAGTTTGAAGCTGGTATGTTATTCTAAATGAGATGATCTATTCCCTCAATACTGACCAATTTTCTTCCACAGACGAATTTGCCCAAGGCCTCGGATTCTCTGATGAGCTTGCTGCCTCTCTCCTCAAGCTGCAGATCCAGAACCTGAGCACCATGGACGCTGACTGGATGTACGCCAGCTACCACTACTCACACCCAATTCTGACCGAGCGTCTTGCTGCCCTTGGCTGGCAGGGTGGAAAGGTCACCAGCTCCAAGGCCGAGGATAGCGAAAAGCCCGTCAAGGCCGCTGACCGCGAGCTTTAAAGCGGTGGTTTTATTGGCAATGACCAACTCCCAATTATTAAATTTACGTCGAATTTGGGGTGCGGAATAGATGATGGGGGCTCAGTGGAGCAAGAGGCTCGAGGATTCCATTGAGTTGGATTGGGAAAATGGACGCTTTCGAATATCTATCTTTACAACTTTTTTCTTTCCCAAAAAAGACACTTTTGTCTAGACATGAAATGCATGCAGATATACAGGAAGCAAGCGAGCTTCAATAGCCGTAGCTATAAGTCGAACACACCGTAAAAGGCGGCAGGATGGCAGCAAAAAATAAAACAGAGTAGAAAAAACTCCAACCCGATGCAACAACGCCCATGGCTCAAACAGATCCAAAACAAGACAATCAATCCGAGTCGTCGTCCTTCTTGTTCTTGGCCTTCTTCTCGGCCTGTCGTCGCTCTTTCTTCAAGCGCTTGCGCTCCTCCTTATCAATGCCAGACTGATCCTGCTCCTGCTCCTGGAAGGCCTCGGCCTCGGTTTCGAATTCGGTATCCTTCATCTCAAGATCATTGTCGTCGTTCTCGTCCTGGTTTTCGTTCGCAGTGGCACCAGCGGCAACATCCAGGTAATCTTCGCCAGGGTTGTTCTTGGCAACGGTTAAATCCCGTCCAAGGACCTCACCAGCCAGACCGGCTTGCACACGCTTCAGATTGTGGAGAATGAGGTTTGGCGCGGCGGCGGTGGTGCGGGAAACGGGACCATGTTCGCTGATGCTGGCATTGGGCTGTAGAGCTGGGTCTTGAGCTGCGCGGTCCAAGTAGGCGGCTAGGAAATCGTGTGCGGCGGATTGACTGATTGACTTGGTGCTTTGCACAGTGGTCGGAGGGAGAGATGAGGGGCCTTGAGCGGACATTTTTGTATGGATAAGGCCTGCAATGGCCGGTTGATCGAGTTCGGAGGGTTTTTTGAAGACCGGTGATTTGTCGTCTGGAGTTTGCGCTTTTTACTGCAAGCTTGAGACCAAAGAGAGTCTTTGGTTAAATCAATCGGGAGTTGCTCGGCGCATCGCAACAAAAAAGTTTCGGTGGCCGCGCTTATGTAATTTTCTTTCTCTTCCCGACACTGCGCCGCGAGCATCACCGAAGCCTTCCTAGCCTATCCTCAACCCCAACGACAGCCGAGTTATCCCTCCTTTTCAAAATTCGGGCCATCATAATGCTTGGTTTTCGCTGCAGGGCTGCGCCCTCCATCCGGGCCGCTGCATCCACTCCCCGGGCCCTGGTGAACAGGTACGCATGAACTCTCCGCAACATCAAATACCCCAAGCACGGCACTAATGACAGCCCTCCACTCCAGTGCTAGCCCATTCACACTGCAGACCAAGGCCACCAAATCTGCAATCGTCTCCGCCAGATCCTTCTCCTCTTCTCTTTTCTCCACGCCGGTCCGCCCCCAACAACTACAGACCTTCTCCCGACTCCCGTCCACAAGCATTCCCACCACCCTCTCCTCGGTGTCCTCGCTGCTCTCCCAGCAATCACAACAGAGCCGTACATTCTCAGCAACTGCACACCTTGGCGTGAAACGCAACACATTCAACCCCTCGCGACGAGTACAGAAGCGACGCTCCGGGTTCCTGGCCCGTAACAAGTCCCAGAAGGGTCGTCTTGTCCTGATCCGGCGGCGTCTCAGGGGACGCAAGGCTATGAGCTGGTAAATCTACCTTGCTGGGAAAATTTTGATGGTGGGCGGAAGCATATTCGGGGGGGGAGGGGGGGGGGGGTTTGAATGCATTAAAGAGAATGGCCGTGGGGAGCTTGTCTACAAGTTGATAGATCGATGAAGGTGGAAAGCTATCCTTGGGTCGGGCAGAACATGTCAGGATTATTAGACCTTGTACCATATTATCTCTTCTTGAGTATGTGTGAAATTATACGCAATTCAGCAGTCTTTTTTTCAGCAAATTGGATGTTCTTGTAGATGAGGGTTAAGCAGAGTGCTTGATTTTATCTCAGAATGCGTCGATCAGCAAGGTTCTCGGTCTCCTAGGTATACTTGGTTGGACATGATAGACGCAGTCAATCGGTGGGAGTGTTACAGTATGACGGGAGGTACAGACACGAAATAGCTGTTGAAATGAAATTGAAATAGCTATGTTTTTGACTACTACGCTGATCTTACTTCCAAGTTAGTTTGTCTAGTCCCCTTTTATATAGGCTTCTTCTATTTGTCGCTAAAATGTACTGGACAACCAGACCAATTTATTCTATGAGTGACTTTATAATTCATTACTAACTAATCCGCTTTCCACCAGCCGTTTGATTGCTCAACCTCTTCCCTCACCCATCAATTCGGCCACCAACCGTAGATTTCATATAAGTTTTCTAATTATGAGACGTTATTGGAATTCCAAACCCCGGAACCCAGTTATCTCAAAATACTCACTTTCAACTAATTGCAGCAGTGGTTCCAGCTAATGCCCCCGCATTCGAATTGGAGATCATCCTACGCCTGTTTTCCGGGTTCATGTATTCTTCATATTCCTTCTCATATTTCGCGTAGTCTTTTTGATATTTCTCCTCCTTGTTTCGGTATTTCTCTCGGCGAGGAGGCTGGGGCTTCACATAGGGTTTGCCGATGCCAAAGCACATTATGGAGGTTGGTGATGCAGGGTCAGATATCTTGCTTTAGATAGATTTGTCCTGAGACAAGGGCAATTTGGTTCGTCTCAAGGAATGGAAAATTGATAGTAATCGTATTATTGAATGATTAAACAGAGTCGGGCTTTTCTTATATGGTAGGCTAAGTGCCAATATCAACTGCGAGGAATGCTTACACAGCCCACCCTAGCGGGCTTGGCTGGTGTCATTATTGCCCCATCTCCGCCCGATTCCGTAGGGGCTATCGAGTTCTTCATGTTGGAATTATAGATGAACTGGGGCCGGTATGCGTTATATGCATAGTATCTCCGTAGCATTTATATCAACGTGTCTAGCTGTTACCAGTCCAATGCGTCTAAATGTTCAAGACATTTACTCATCTTCATCACTCTCGTCCGAGCCAGATTCGGAATCTTCCTCGTCATCGTCATCGTCATCGTCTTCTTCTTCCTCCTCCTCTTCAACTTCACCAGCCTTGAAACCATAATCGTCCTCGAATTCCTTCAAAGCCTGGACCTTTGGTGTGAAGCCAAATGTCTCAAAGCCTTGCTTGAGAGTCTATTCATATATATTAGTACAGGCGCACCAAGGGATTCTAGAGCTCCGATGTCAAAAAGATGAACTTACCTCTCCCAGAACAGTGCCGCAAGTGACAACAAGGTTGGTAGTCTTCGGCTCGAAAAGCGGCAGAATGACCTCACGAAGAGCACCCTTTATCTCATCGACACTGATACCACGGACCTTCTTCAGCATCTTCTCCTTGTAATCGCTAGGCAGTTTGCGCACAACCTGGCGGATGAAACTGCCTTGGGCGGCGGTGGCAGCAGTCATCTGTTCGTTGGCGTAGCCCACAACGATGCTGCTGATAGCGCCCTCCAACATCAAGGGGTCGAAAGGCGAGGCACCAGATAGATGATCCTCAACAATCTGCTTGCTGGACTCGAATGCCTTGTGCGCATTTGGAGATCGGTACACATCGAAGTTCACGAAGCCAGTGTCAATGTTGTAGGCGAAGTTGGTACCGTAGGCCAAGCCCTTACCACGGACTGCAACCCAGAGGGGACCCTCGACAGCGTTCATGTAGGCGATGGCAACGAGCAAAGCCGGCAGGTTGGGGTCGTCATAGGAGTTCAGACCCCGGCTAGTGGCGTAGGCATAGGAAGAATCGACTGTCGGCATAGGAACAATGTACGAAGTACCACCAATGGCCTTTCCTGCATCACTCAGCAGAGCCCGGCGGTCCGTGATGGGCTTCAATTCAGTGCTGGTTCCAAGACGCTCAGCAAATGGCTTCCAGGATGAAACGGGCCGGGGGAGCTTCTCCAAGTCGGCAACGACAACGACGCGGATATTGTCAGGCTGGAAGAGCGACTTGCGGATTTCTTCCATGCGGCTCACAATCTCCTCGGGCTTGTTGGCAAGAAGACGCTTGACACGCTTGAGGTAGCGGGCCTTCACCAGGGTGCTACGAGCCCGAGAGATGGACTCCTCCGCGAAATGAACCATAATGTGCACCGCCGCGAGCATGTCGTCACCACTGCGCTTGGAGTCGGGCACATCGGCCAGTAGCCTGGTGTTAATTGCCTTAAGTCTCTCAACATCGAAGATAGAGTTCCAGCACAGCTCTTGAATCCACGCAATGGCGGTCTCATACTTTTCAAGTTCGACCTGGAAGGAAACACGCAACATCTCGGAGTTACCTAGGCTTCGAGCAGTTTCCATGGCATAACCGACGGTGTCCTTCTCAAGCTCCACCACAACCTGTTCAAAGTTGATCGTCTTGCCATCTCGCTGGACAGGAATGTTGAAGAACGCCTCGGTATAGATTGAAAGCAGGGGGCGTAGTTGAACGGGAACGGACTGCGCGGAGATGAGGACTGCCATCTGCACGAAACTACTTTCGATGTGCTCGAAGTGGATGAAAAGAGGCTGATCCGAATGATCAGCATCCACGATCTTTTGGATTTTGTGGTCTGGCCGTCCAGCCTTCAGGGCAGCGCCAGATCGAGCCGTAGTGGTGTCCATGAAGTGAATAGACTCGGTTCCAGGTATAGCAAACTGGGCCAGAGTCTCCTGGGGGATCTCCTTGTCGTTCTCTGTTTTGGCTTTCTCAAGCTTGTCGGCAAGTTCCTTGAGTCCCTTCTCGCCGAGACGCTCCTTCTGCGCAGCAACGCGGGCCTCTTCATCGGTCTTGAGCTTGTCAGAAAGTTTTTGGGATGGAACACCCAGAATTGTAACGCTGTGAGCATCGGCAATCCACTTGTTGATGAACTCCCGCCACTGGTCCTCAGTCCACTTTCTAATCACGTCGTACTCCTGAAGAGTTGCCACATCCCTCAAAGTCGAGCCATCGCGCTTTCCATACAGGAAATCAGTAATGACATACTCGGCCAGAGAAGAAGCATTGCTCTCAGTGTTAAACTTCCATGCACGGCACTGGCGGTCAATGCACTCACTCATATATTTCATATCCAGGGCCTTCGTCATTGCGTCCTTCAGGATCTCGAAGAATCTCTTCTGAACCGAAGCAAGCTTGTCTGTCTCAACGCTCGTCATGGTGAACCGGATCTCCATGCTAGGGTGATCATCGGTTGCATAGTAGACTGCGCTAGCAATTTGCTCTTTCTCAACAATGATGTTCTCAAGTAGAGAAGCAGATGATCCAGCCAAATATAACAGAGCGACGTTGAGTGCACCAGCTGTGAAATAATTAGTTTTTCTCTGGAACTTCCAACTATAACTCGGTACATACACTGGATAGGGTCATTGCAATCCGGACCCAAGAATCGAATCTCAATTTCACCGAAATCTTCATCTTCCTCTGGGAATTCAACAGTCTGAATGGTAGACTTGGTTAATGCAGGCGCCTGCTTTGAATCCGTCCAGGGTCTTTTGAAAGGGGCGTCAGGGCTCGGGATAACGTCCAAAATCGTATCTTCAAACTTGTCCAGAATTTGTAGCATGTTGTTCTGGTCCACCTCACCAGTAATAACCAGACAAAGGTTCTTGGGCTGGTACATCTCCCGGTGGAACTCCCTAATCCGCTCGGCTGAGAGGACACGAAGTTGCTCCATCATTCCGCCGGTCTCGTAACGGTAACCGACACCTTCGGGGTAAGTGGCACGACGGGCCGCCAGGTCAATCAGCTCGGCTGCGTTGTTTTGAACACCTTGCATCTCAGAGTACACCACGCCAGCATCATTTCCAGCGCCGTCAATGTGGTGAACTTCGGTATAGCAGCCCTCGTCAGTTAGGGTAGGAGCAATAACATGCTCGAGGTAGATAGGCAGGATGCGGGCGAAGCCCTCCCAACCTGCTGTGTCCAAGGTGTACGCTGTGTGGTCTGGAGCAGTCCAAGCATTTGTGCTGGAGTAAACCCGAGTGGCCAGCTTGTCTAGAAAGCCCTTGTACCGGTAGTTTCGAGATCCCATAAAGCACAGGTGTTCCAGTGTATGGGGGGCACCAGAATCATCGTGAATCTCGGTAGCAAGTACAAAATAACCATTTACCTTAGGACCTTTCTGGCCAATGACCACCACCCGCATACCAGTGCGTTGAGATTCATACTCGACGAATTCACTGGGCGAGTAGTCGGGCTTAAACCGCTGAAGCAGTTTAAAATGGCTCGACATCTTGAACGGATTCACCCCAGTGAAGATATTTCGCCGGAGATTGTAAATTCTATTTTATAGTTAGCATTTCTGACCTATCATGAGATACAATCGACTGTGTCAGAATTGCGGTGGCCCTCATGGTCAACATCATGATATTTTCAATGCTAGTGCCGAGCAAGGCGCTCAAAATACTATGTGTCGTACGCCCAATCCTAGGAGAAGATTTTGGAAGATACAACAGGCAACAGGATTGGGGACCTTCATAGCCAACAAGGAACGTTGCAATGAGCCATTCAGAAGATCGCCGACCACATAGCACATAGCACATAGCATTGGGTGTGACGTGAGAATCGGCGGGGCACGAGATTGAGAAGTGGGGGAAGAAGGAGATTGGGGATCTGGGTAGTACCTAGGCAGTTAACCAGATAGGAAACTTACAGGAACCGAGTAGATGTCACTCGACTCAGATCTCGACAAAACCAAGACACTGTGGGTTTAGGAGAGTCTGAGCTTGTGTGCTGGACCCAGGCGGAGTCCTTTGCAAAGTTCCAAAGTTGGGTCCCGTCTCTTACAAAGCGAACAAGTGACCGGGACTGGCTACTATTTAGCTAAACAATACGGGGATCCGTGCTCTTATACCCTACTAGTCATCTTCTGGCTATTTTCTGCTTTTTGGGAATTTTTTAAATTTATTTCCTTTTTGTTTTTTTCTGGAATTGGATCAGCCAGCCCAGAACCTGAACAGTTCTGATTCCCCTCCATCGACTGAGTGTGGGGCGGTGACGCCCAAAGTCACGGGTTGTTGACACGCTGGAGTGCTTCAACACTCTTCACTTCAACACCCCAAAAGCTTTCAAAGTCGTGTCGGCGCGCCTAGCTTTACCATGTCATCTGAGAGTGAAGTCTGTCAGGCTGTCCTAGGCTTCGTTACAGAAGGTGCCTATCCCGAGGAAAAACTTGTTGCGGCAGAATTCCCAGCGACAGCTCTTGCGAAAGAGCTGGAGCTTATCGCGCAAGCTCGTGAACAGGTCGAGGTAAGTGAATGCCAATGTGACTTGGTCTCCGATCGTTTGATTTCTTATTTTTGTAATAATTGCTAATGTCACTCTTTCTGAGATAGAATGAAATCAGCTCCTTGAGTCGCGAGAACACCTTCGATGCCGACGAATGGATCGTCCAAGCAAAACAACTACATGCGGATATCGAGCGCTCCCGAGTGACGGCGCGGGAGATTGTCGAGCAACATGAACAGACAGATCCCATTCGGTCCAAGGTCGAGGATGCCAGCGCGAAAGTAGAACTGATCGAGACCGAAATAGCCTTCAACGAGGCAGTGGCAGGCACATTAGAGGTGGTACAGCGACTATGCCAGCAATTGGAGGCTGCAAGAGCTTCTCTGGCTAGCGGTAATATTACAGCTGCTATCGAACAGCTGGAGGCTATCCAGGCAGCGCTCGGGGACAACACTTTCTTTGCCAATACCAACGTAATGAGCATACTCACCATCGAGGGTTCTCGTCTAAGGCAAGAGATTGAAGAAGCAGTCCGCCTGCGCTGGTCTCAACAACTTAATGTGGACCAAAAAAATGGCGAGTTTCGGATCGAGAAGGCTCAGGGTCCAGACTCTCTGCAAAGCACCATTTCGTCTCTTGAACAACTAGGTACTTTCGCGGCCGTCAATGAGAAGTTCCAGCAAGACCTCATTACAACAATTATTGATCCAATTCTACAACCTCGCCGTGACGGCAACAGTCACGCTGTTACAGTCACGGAAGCTGGTATTCACCTTGATTCAGAATCATCAAAGGCAGCTGTTGCTGAAACCTTGGATCGCATTACCCGAGTTCTGGATTACCTGCGACAGAACCTACCGTGTTCGATTTCGGATACGATTCCTCAGTCCTTTCTCCCAGCTATTGCTTCAAAAACGATTTCAGGGTGGCTGTCTCCTGCCATCCCAACCGACCTCAGTGGACTCGATAAATTTGAGGAAACACTGGAACTTGTCCTACAGCTTACAAAAACCATCGAATCGTGGGGCTGGTCCGGACACGAAGAGCTGAGTGGTTGGATTAACCAGGCTGCTCGTTTGTGGCTGGCCAAGCGCCGGGTTGACTCGCTTGATCGTGTGCGCAAAGTCCTTGCGGCAAGCACAGGCAGCACTAAGCAGGTTGAGCGAGTGGAGAAAGAAACTGTTACCCAGGCCGATGAAGCGCTGTTGGAGAATGCCAACACCGACGACTGGGATGCAGAATGGGACGATGATAAGGAGGAACCTAATACCGGAGAAAGCGCCACTCATGCCGAGGAAGATGAAGAAGATGTTAGTGCTTGGGGCTTGGACGACGATGCTCAAGATGACGCCAAGCCTCAAGCAACGGCCTCGACTAATGATGACGACGACGCCGACGATGCCGACGATGCCTGGGGATGGGGCGAAGACGAAGAAGACAGTAAATATGAGCAGAACGATCATTCGCATACTACTCCCTCATCGAAGCCGACGACCAAGGAAAAGAACGATGTGCAGCCGCGCGCGGAAAAAGAGGTGGTTCTGAGAGAGGTTTACACCGTGACCGACATACCAGAGTCGGTTTTAAGGATTGTTCTGCAGCAGATTACGGACTCCAAGGACATTTCTCAGCCACCGTAAGGACCCGAAAGCTATATAATAGCTTCCATTGTTGCATTGGGCTAACTGAAAACGCTAGACATTCCACCTCCCGTGTTGCTTCCTCTGGCCCTGGTCTTCTTGCATTGCCCACGTTGATCCTGGCCATGTTCAAGGCCACATCCTCTTCGTTTTATTCACTCAAACTCAACTCTGGGCAGATGTATCTCTACAACGACAGCTTGTACCTTGCAGGTCAAGTTCGTGAGTTGATAGAGGAACATGACCTTTCCAGACTCAGCTCCGATGTGGAATCCCTCGAAAAATTTGGTAAACTTGCATACAGTAAGGAAATGCAAACGCAGAGTACTATTGTCACAGACCTGCTTGATGGAGCTCAAGGCTTTGGACAATGCTCTGAGCAGCCATACAGATCAGAGTGTCAGAATGCTGTGAGCGCCGCTGTTGACAGGATCCGTGATGTCTACAAAGAATGGCAACCGATTCTATCGCATTCCGCCTTGCTTCAGTCCATCGGCTCTCTGATATCTACCATGACCAGCAAAGTCATCATTGATGTTGAAGATCTCGGTGATATCAGTGAAGACCAGTCGAAACAACTCGTCCAGTTCTGTAACCAAGTTTCCAAACTCGAGGACCTTTTTACGCCCGAGACAACAAGCGATGCCGATGCAGTACCAGTGACTGCCGTATATGTTCCCAACTGGCTTCGATTCCAGTACCTGATCAACATCCTTGAAAGCTCTCTCGCCGATATCAAATTCCTTTGGTTGGAAGGTGAATTGGGTCTGGAGTTCTCTATCGAGGAGGTGGTCGATCTCATTGAGGCTCTGTTTGCCGAATCCGATTATCGACGTCGGGCTATTTCAGAGATTCGTCGAGCTCCGAGAGGATGATATGCATCAGCGAGATAGTTCATTTCTTAGTAAATATTCACAAGTCAAATTTTCCATCCAATTTAACTCGCAAGAAGTACTTCTGTAGAAGCGTAGCGGGCGGGGCGATCTCCGCGCTTTGCACTAGTGTGCCGCACCGGTCACCGTATTTTTTCCTCATCGACCCGCACAGGCTTGTCCATTTTGCGACAGCCATCTGCAGCGACTACCGATCGCAATTTGCACGAATTCTCGCCCATAATGAGTGACGATCAAGGATCTGCTGCCGAGCCTGTGCAGAGACAGGTTCGTGTACAACTCACGAGCAAGCAGGAGGACATTTCCCTTCCTGAATCCACCGGTCCCATTCTCGTGCCTACTGGTAAGAACAATTTGAAACCTGTATATGTTGAAGATGAAAATGTGCTGATGCCCTGCTTTCCACAGGCCTGCGACGTTATGCGCTGTCGACATTGGTGAACAACCTTCTGAGCAGCGAGAAGCCGATCCCATTCGAATTTTTGATCAACGGAACTTTTTTGCGTACCTCGATCGATGAATACCTGAGTGCCAATGGCATCTCCTCCGAGACGACTCTTGAGATTGAATATGTTCGCGCTTTGATTCCCCCGCTTCACATTGCCTCGTTCCAGCACGATGACTGGGTCAGCGCAACCGATGTGCTCTCTGCAACTGCACCCGCCGCAACCTGGGCCTCTGGCGCTACTTTCTCCAAGGGCCAAGAGAGAATTCTTTCCGGTTCTTATGATGGATTCCTTCGTGTTTGGAACATGTCCTCTGAGACTATCGCCACTTCCCCTGCTGCCACCGAGGGTGGCCACACGGCCTCAATCAAGGCTGCTAAATTCGTGTCTCCCAACCAGATTGCCTCGGCTTCCCTGGACCGCACCGTTAGACTGTGGAAGTACACCGAGGAGGCTGATGGCTTCTCTGGAAAGATTGCTCCTCAGCTCGAGCTCTATGGCCACAAGTCCGGAATCGAGTCTTTGGCCGTGCATGCGCCATCTCACCGTCTCCTGACTGGCTCGTCCGATAACAACGTTGGATTCTGGAGCACCAAGAAGGCCGATGCTCCTGCTGCTCCGGAGAACTTGCTTCCTTCTAACGCTGCTCGCAACTCCAAGCGACGCAAGCTGAACTCGTCTGTCAGCACAGCGCAACGCGGTCCTCTGGCCCTTCTTTCGGCTCACACCGGCCCCGTTTCGGCTGCCATCTTTGACGCCAGAGATTCCACCGTTGGATACTCTGCGTCCTGGGACCACTCCCTCCGCACTTGGGATCTGGTTACCGCTTCACTGGTTGACACTCGTACTACTGCACACTCACTTCTCTCTCTGGAGCACCTTCCCGACCACAACCTTCTCGCAGCCGGTACCTCTGCTCGCCACATCACTATGATTGATCCCCGTGCCTCTGCTACCACCGTTGCTGCTATGACTCTCCGTGGCCACACCAACGCTGTTGTCAGCTTGGCCCGTGACCCGCACAGCTCACACGGTCTAATTTCCGGTTCCCACGATGGAACTGTGCGCCTGTGGGACTTGCGGAGCACCAAGACCGACAAGGAAGGCATTGTCGGTGAGAGTGTGTACTCCATTCCCCGCAAGAGTCTCGAGGATGAAGGCAAGGCGGACTCCAAGCGTGTCGGAGGAGAGGGCGTCAAGGTGTTCAGCGTGTGCTGGGACGAAACCGTGGGCATTGTGAGCGCGGGTGAGGACAAGCGAATCCAGATCAACCGCGGTGAGGGTGTTTTGTCCTCGGCAAAGGAGTAGACTTGCGCATACGGGCAACGGCGTTTTTAGATTGTGGTTTTGTGTCAAAAAGTTTCCGTCTCGTTTCCAAGGTTCCATTTGTATGCAGCTTAATTTAGCCTATGGATGTGGATATATAGTACTATTTCAGATGTAAATCTACCATTACTATTACTTCATCAAACACAGATGTAAAGGGAGTTTTCCAATTCGTTTTTTGAACAAGATATAATACAGTGATAGATGGTAAATTCGCACATAAGCTGGCATGTAACCGTATGCCAGCAATCAAGAAAAACGCCATGTCCATGCCTCTCACAACATCCTGAGATTATCCGATAACGTTTAAACAACAAAGTCAAGGCCTGCAGCTCTTGGCTTACATACGACGCTCCATACGGTTCAGTTTGACAGGAGTTTTGATCTGAATTCAATTGTTAGCTTTGCATTTCCACGCAGACTCTTCCGCCAATCCATGAAGTTTTGGGTTGTCCACCGGCTGGTATGAGATATTCCAGTCGATTGCAAGTCCAAATTTGCCATATCATAGCCACCAGAGCCAAAGATCGGAAGTGAACCTACCTGGGTTCGGGTACGCTGTCCGCGAACAGGAAGACCCAAAGCATGACGACGGCCACGGTAGGTTCCGGTCTCCTTCAGGCGCTTGATATCATTCACAACCTCTCTGCGCAGATCATTCTCAATCTTCATGTCCGACAAGACGGCGGTCATGTCAAGAACCTGCTTGTTGGCCAGCTCGCCGACTCGGCAGGTCGGGTGGATGTTAAATCGGGCGAGGAGGCGGGAGGAGGTATGGTTGCCGATACCGAAGAATGACTCAAGAGACTTCTACAAAGGGCAGATTTAAGTTAGTTTGCGGGCCAATTGGTCGAGACCCGGGGGTCGTGTTGGGAGGTGAGGGCAGAGGTGTTGCTTGCCTTGAGCAGGTTCCGCTCGGGGAAGTTGACGCCGAGGATGAAGACCTTGAAGCTTGTTAGTAATATATTAAATCGAGAGGGACTTTGAAAGGGACTATACCATCTTGCCGGGAATAGATTCTCTGATCGATTGATACTCGGTTCAATTGACGCTTGTCCGCGATGCGCGGGAGAAATCATACGGCAACAACGTTTCTCCGACGAGTGGCCTTCTCCGCACGCCATTGCAAGCTGGCCTCCACTTCTTGCTCCTTCACCACATCTACCCAGAGTAGTGGCAATTCGCAATCATGAATTTCCGCAACCTCTTTCTCTCCCTTTTTCTGGTCTTTGCGGTCAGCTTCGCGCTGGTCCAGGCCGAAGATGCTAAGAAGGAACCTCGTGGTCCCAAGATCACCAACAAGGTATCTCACAATAGTCTCCATCGCTCTGCTGCCAATGCTAATTGATTGCTACAGGTCTACTTCGATGTTAACCATGGAGATGAGTCCATGGGCCGAATTGTTATGGGTCTTTACGGCAAGACTGTACCAGAGGTTAGTTACACTCCAGAGTCAGGCATGAGAATGCCATTAACAATACTCGTTTCCCTTAGACCGCTGAAAACTTCCGGTAAGACGATTGCGACGAACCCATTGGGCTTCTCCATGAACTCAATTCTAATACTTCTTCAGCGCTCTGGCTACCGGTGAGAAGGGCTTCGGTTATGAGGGCTCCTCTTTCCACCGTGTGATTAAGGACTTCATGATCCAGGGTGGTGACTTCACCAACGGTGACGGTTTGTATCCTTCCTGCCCATGGATGACTATGAAGAGTACTGATGCATACTGCAGGCACTGGTGGCAAGTCTATCTATGGTAACAAGTTCAAGGACGAGAACTTCAAGCTTCGCCACACCAAGAAGGGCCAACTGAGTATGCAATTCCTCTTGCTGATTACCTTATTTGAAAGATAGTAAAAACTAACGATATCCCAGGCATGGCCAACGCTGGCAAGGACACCAACGGCTCCCAGTTTTTTATCACCACCATTATCACCTCGTGGCTCGATGGCCGCCACGTCGTCTTTGGTGAGGTCCTTGAGGGCTACGACATTGTCGACAAGATCCAGAATGTCGATAAGGCTCGTGGTGACAAGCCCTCGACCCCCGTCACGATCGTGAAGAGTGGCGAGCTGGAGTTTGAGGCTGAAGCCGAGGATGTCAAGGCCGATGATAAAGGTAGCCGCGACGAGCTCTAAATCAGCAGTTGAGCCCTCGCTCTGCTCTTCTGCTCCTGGTTGAAGGTGGCTGATGATACTTGCTCCCCTAAGAATCCAACCCCGCCCCGACGCCAGCCCCCGAAGTTCTTCCCTCAATGGAGGCGTCGACCTCTTACCCGATGCAGCCTGTCTGGATCCTGTTCGGACTGATTGTCTTGGTGGGTATCTATGTTTGCCGCCGCAACATCCGCCAGCAGCAGCAACAACAGAACAGTGAGAAGAAGGAATTTGATGCTTAAGTGAAGTGCAGATAACAGATAGCCGAAGAATATAGCGTATTCTGAAGAATCCATTACATTTTGAACATGCAAGATTGGGGGATCAACATGACATCAGCGGTGGTCGCACTCCCACATATAAGCCTCGTACAACATGTACATGTACGAGTATGTACTTTGTTTCTAGCTGCGTAGATCACAGTCGTCGGGTCCGCTCGTGGGTGAGCCAATCATCATCTTGGCCACCTTACTTAGTCAATCCCCTATGGGGCTAGACTACCAGTGGTTACTTTAGTACAAAAAAAAAACTCTGAGGTACGGTGTATTACTATTGGCAGTACTTGCCTTTTGGCATGAGGACCAGTACACTTTCAAAGTACCCGGTTAGCCCTGATACCGCCACCATACGGAACAGTACCTGGCTCGACCACCAGACACAGGCCACAGCACGGTGACCCCGTAACCCGTGAAGTACATGATTTGCCTCCTTCCCACAGACCGCAGAGAAAACCTCCCTCTTCATCATCCCTTTTTCACCACTCCACTCACCCTTTCTCTTCTTTCTTCTCGGTGCTCATAGAGTATTTAGAACTGGGAGGATTTGCATTTTCGTCCTTCTCTTACCCCTCTCTTGTTAATTTTTGTCTCTCACCTTTCTCTAAGTGAAAAAAAAAACGAGAGCACTCTTCATTCCGCCTTCTCTCGTCTCTTGAAGGTATTCCATTCTCTTCTTTGCAAGTGTCGCTTTTATTCGATCGCTTGCATCTTATCGACACACTGAGAATCTCAGTTCAGTGATTTTTTACCAAAAAAAACTGTTCGCATTCCCAAACCTTGAATTCCTTTTCTCTCACCCCTCGAAAAAAAAAATCCCACAGCCCACCCTACGACCTGTTACTGACCAACACATCTTCTTCGGTGATAGAAATCCTCAGACCACACGCCAACATGGCCGACGGACTTCAAATGGGCAACTTGTCCATCAACGACTCCCAGCACGCCCCCCAGGGTGGACCCCCTGGTCGTGCTGCTTATATCCCTCCTCACCTTCGTGGCCGCCCCAACATGGATGGTGCCGCTCCTCCTCCTGGCCCTGGTGCCGGTGCTCCTCGGTACGAAACCTCAGAATCCCCATGTCTGCCGACAGCCACTAATTCTTCGGTTTTCAGCGGCGGTCCTCGCGGCAACTGGGCTAATGCTAACGCTCCTGACTTCAGCCCTCGTCCCGCCAACGGTAATTCAACCTGGAACCCAGATGGTCGAGCCCCCCCGGCCCTTCGATCCCCATGCTTACGGACATCCAGGAAGTGCAGGTGGCAGCGGTGGTAGCGGTGGTAGCTACGCCGGTGGCTCTGCCCGCGGTTCGGGAGATGGCCAGTGGCGCGACGGCAAGCACGTCGCTGGTCCCGCCAACGCTCGTGTCGAGCGCGAACTTTTCGGTGTCCCCAACGACCCTACCAAGCAGCAAACCGGTATCAACTTCTCCAACTACGACGATATCCCCGTTGAGGCTTCCGGTCAAGATGTTCCCGAGCCCGTTAACTCTTTCACCAACCCCCCTCTCGATGACCACCTGATCACCAACATCAAGCTCGCCAGCTATGTTGTCCCTACTCCCGTCCAGAAGTACTCGATCCCCATTGTCATGGGCGGTCGCGATCTGATGGCTTGCGCCCAGACCGGTTCCGGAAAGACCGGTGGTTTCCTTTTCCCCATTCTCTCCCAGGCTTTCCAGACCGGTCCCTCTGCTGCCCCCCAACAGGCTTCTGGCCAGTTCAGCTACGGCCGTCAGCGCAAGGCCTACCCTACCTCTCCTCATCCTCGCTCCCACTCGTGAGCTGGTCTCCCAGATCTTTGATGAGGCACGCAAGTTCAGCTACCGTTCGTGGGTCCGCCCTTGTGTCGTCTACGGTGGTGCCGACATTGGCTCCCAGCTGCGCCAGATTGAGCGTGGTTGCGATCTGCTCGTTGCCACCCCCGGTCGTCTGGTCGATCTGATTGAGCGTGGCCGTATCTCCCTTGTTAACATCAAGTATTTGGTTCTTGATGAGGCTGATCGCATGCTGGACATGGGTTTCGAGCCCCAAATTCGCCGCATTGTCGAGGGTGAGGATATGCCTCGCGTTGAGGACCGCCAGACTCTCATGTTCTCCGCCACCTTCCCCCGTGATATCCAGATGCTGGCCCGTGACTTCTTGAAGGACTACATTTTCTTGTCAGTTGGTCGTGTCGGTTCTACCTCCGAGAACATTACCCAGAAGGTTGAGTACGTCGAGGATCATGATAAGCGCTCCGTTCTGCTGGATATCCTCCACACTCACGGCACGACTGGCCTGACCCTGATCTTCGTCGAGACCAAGCGCATGGCCGACTCCCTCTCCGACTTCCTGATCAACCAGCGCTTCCCCGCCACTGCCATTCACGGTGACCGCACCCAGCGTGAACGTGAGCGTGCTCTGGAGTTCTTCCGTAACGGTCGCTGCCCCATCCTGGTCGCCACTGCCGTTGCTGCTCGTGGTCTCGATATTCCTAACGTTACTCACGTCATTAACTACGACCTGCCCACTGACATCGATGACTACGTTCACCGTATTGGTCGTACCGGTCGTGCTGGTAACACTGGTATTGCCACCGCTTTCTTCAACCGTGGCAACCGTGGTGTCGTTCGCGACCTTCTTGATCTCCTCAAGGAAGCTCACCAGGAGGTTCCCTCCTTCCTTGAGAGCATTGCTCGTGAGGGCAGCAGCTATGGCGGCCGTGGCGGTCGTGGCGGTCGTGGCCGTGGCGGTTCCACTGCCACCCGCGATGTTCGTCGCCTGCCTCCCTCCGCTGGCGGCTTCGGCGGTGGCTTCAGCTCTACCCCCTCTTACGGTGGCAGCGGTGGTAGCTACGGCGGCGGTGCCCCATCTTACAGTGGTGGCGGCGGTGGTGGTTATGGCGGCGGCTACGGCGGCGGCGGCAGCGGCGGCGGCGGCAGCTACGGCAACCCCTCTGGCGCTGGTGGTCCCTCTTCCTGGTGGTAAACCAGTCGTGGTCTGATGATATGGCCGTCGGGTCTGATTGGCTCCCATTTCTTATTTCCTTATTGTCTTTCGTTGACGGATACGATCAGAACGAACCCCTGAGCTCTTTTCTCTCTCGCTATTTCTCGGGGACGGCTTTGTCATGACTGCGACGACTTTCCTATGCTTTTCTAGATTTTACGCTGTTTCTATCTCCTTATTGCTCGCATTTGTTTGGCTTTTCCTTTCATCTTTCCCTGTATTTGCTCTTTTTTCATTTCGCACGTTTTCCACGGCTCTCAATCGGCCTTGTTTAAACACGGGGCGTTCGAGCAGTTCTGATCTCCTTTTTGTTGCTCATGGTCATTTATGATGACGATTTCTTTCCTCTTCGAGCAACCGGCGATTGGCACTGCATGAACATGATAGAATGCGTTGTCTTTTCTGTGTCCGCTCTCATCAGATACCCCTTTTGTTCGAGCTATCCCAATGGGGATAATGTTCGAATGACGCGCGCGCCGAGCAGGAGAATGCCGGCTTTTCATCTCCCTCGAAAAGTGATCTTTTATATCTGCATCCATCTTCTCGGTGCTGTCATGGCTGACAGCGTCGGTATCTCGTGGCGGACCTTTTCTTTAATGCGTTGCTGCAGCCCTCGTGTGTCGCGTTTCTTCTCGCAAACCAAAAACCGCGCTTTCTTTCTCCGGGCTTTGCTTTTTTTAGAACTTTTACAGGTGTGCAACCGTCGGCGATGGGGTGCTTATCATGACTCTTTCTGGTTCGGATATCTATTTACTTCGTCGTTGAGGTCGCCTGGTGGAGGGGTTTCGAACGGGAATTCTTTTGCATTCTGTATGGCGTTGGCTTGACTGCATCCACATGTCCTCTGGGTCCCCGCGGAGCCTTAATGGTTTCCCCATGGGTTCTCTTCATATCTCCTTCACTTTTTTACGGATCTGGGAGGATGGGACGCTGTCACCGGCGCTGAATGACTCGCTCAGGTATCATGGGTTCCATCCGCGCATGGAATGGCCTGGTAGGAAGAGCGAGCGAGGCCGCGAGTTTGAAAGCCGTCTTATTTCAATTTCAATGTTATTTGAAAAGTTGTTTCCCATTTGATTCTCGTAAATTCCCTCTTAAACTAGGTTTGAATGCCCTTGCGTAGTCTTCCACCAAATAGTATACACATAACGTCGTAAGCATGACTTTATATCATCCATCTCATTTACTATTGATACTACGTGGATTTTTTTTTTTTAAAAAAAAAAAAAAGAATAAGAAACGATAAATACGCCAGGACAATGCAAATTTGAAATAAAAAAGTTGCATTGTACTATACTTGTAGTGCAACTCACTGGTACTCCGCCTCCCAGATGCGGGTAGCTATCACTGCCTCCCGCAGACTAAAGTTCACCTGAGCACAATTGCGGCTTCGTCCCTTCCGGCTTTTCCTCTTCCTCTTCACCCTATCCAATCCTCTCCTCGCTTATCATTTCCCCTCCGTCACCCTTCGACGCCCGACTCGGCCATCTTCCTCATCCATTCTTTCTTGGTCGCCTTTCATTTAGGGGCGCCGTCACTGCCCCCGACATCGTTTCCCCCCGGATCTTGGGAGCTTTCACAACCACACACAAAGCGACTCCCTTGATTGTCATCCACACTCAATATGACCGAAGTCGAAACCCCAGCAATGGATGAATCCTTTGCTGCTTCCGAAGTAGCAGACGATCAGGCCCACGGCGCGACGGCCAGCGCGACGGTCGGTACAAGACGCCAGGCAAATGGTACGATTGGTTCCGTCTACTCTGGAAACAAGATTCGACATTTGAAAAAGGAGGATGGTATCCCCTTGTGGCGAAAAGATATCCAATACCAATTTCTCAAACTCGTCTTCGAAGACAAGACCCCTGTCTTCACGCGATACCCTGACGGAGAAAAGAAGATGGACTTCGCCGACATCTACATCGACGCGATGGCGAGGAGCAGCAAGACCAGTAAGATCTTGAAGGACAAGCTACAAAATGATAAGCCCGCGGCTATCAGCATGGCGATGGTGTGCCTGCTGGTGAATTTTGGTCGCATGAACACAACTCTTAACTGTGAATTCCTCCATTCTCCCTGTCCGATTTGTCACTGTACTAACCACTCGTCTTTTCTACATTTCAGTCTTCCCCGAAATGCGTGCTCAATTACGAACCTACCACTCCATCCCTTCCCTCCAGGCTCACCAGGACTCCAATGCCTATAAGCAACTGCAGGATGCTCCGCGTTTAAAGTCCATCCTTAAGGGCGCATCCGAGGATGTCGATCAGCCAAACACTTTGGAAAAGATCAAGCAGCTGAATGGGCCCCGAACAAACCCTGTCAATCTTATCTTTGTCCTGGCACAATACGCCCCTAAAGTCTCGGAAACGCATTTCTTCCCTCCGCGAGATTTCTTCGATCTGGTCATGCGATCTACACTGAGCAGCGAAAGCCGTGCTAGGGCTTTCCTGTGGTTGATGTGGTGGTATCTGGAGAGCGATTTTAGCCGTGAAGCAGCTTTGAACAATCCGTTTGGTCCTGGTCTAGAAGGAGACGGTGCTGACGGCTTGCCTCTGAAGGTTCCCGCTTTCGAGAGCTTAACAGAAGAGCAAGCGAATGAGGAAAACATTGACACTCCAGAGGAATTGGAGTATGGGGAATCCAAAAGGCTCGAACGAAAGCGTATTTTGGAGGATGAAGAACCACTTCCTCGAGTACCAAAACGTCAGAAGAAGGGTACGATTTTATGCATGCGTTGCGTCTGGTTTCTTTACTAACTCGCTTTTTCCGCAATAGATTTCGGTCTGGATGAAGACTCTTTTGCAGGAGACTACTCTGGTTTAGGAGGTCGAGGCTCTGCCATGTCTACACCTCTCCATCCTTCTGCGAAGCGCAGCCTGGATGACGAGGATGATGAGTTGACCCCCGGAAACTCTTCTCGGCCACGCAACAAGCAGGCAAAGCGCGAATCATCTCTCAACCGAGCTGTCGGCCAGCAACGACTTATTTTGAAGACAAGAATGGATCACACCCCTGATGCTTCACCCGCTCCTCCGGGCTCTAACCATCCGGTATTAAACCGTTTCATTGCCGAGCCTTCACTCTCACAGGCCCCAGGCCGTCGGCCACGTCCCCTTACACAGCACCAAATTGCGGTTGAGCAAAACCGTCGTCAACGCATTGAATATCTATTAGCTAAGCGGAGGGCTACCTCATACCGCATGCTTCGTTCTAAGCGCAATGCCGAAACTCCTTTTGTCCGATACGGACGCCTGGTGCAGGGGCTGCCGGAGGGTTACGACACCGAAGATGAAGAGACATCCTGGGGCAAAGGTGGTCTTCTTCCGAATCCCAATGAAGAAGACGACTACGGCGAGTGCGCTAGTTTCTTCCTCTCCGTGGTTCGAAAAGCAGCTCGGCGACTCGATCGTTGGGACTACGAGGATGCCAATGGACCGAGGAAAGACCGCCAGAAAGAGCGCGAGGAGCGGCAGATTGCTAAAGCTGCCATGGAGGCAGATGTTCGAGCTGCAAGCAACCGAGCTCGCGCACGCCCTGCGCGTGGTGGTGCTGCTTCCAAGCGAAAGTCTACTGGAGCTGGGGTCACGTCTGGGACAGGCAAAAAGACGGCCGCAGGACGTTTGAAAGGTGGTCGCAGCCGCCCCTCTGGCGTGGCTGGTGCTGCCTCCGCTGCGGATACGCCGTCTTGGTACCCCGACAACGGAGAGGTGGAAGGAGAGTTGGATGATTTGGACCGTGAACTTCTAGGTGAGGGGTCTGCCGATGAAGACGGTGCCCCTCGTGCTGGAGATGATGGCGATTCTTCTGATGAATCTGCAGATGATGATGGGGACGAGGATGAGAACCTGTCCACCTATGACGGTCCTAACGGCTACGCACGCCACGAGAGTTCGTCCCCTGTGCCGTCAGGGGCAGCTGAACGACGCGAAGACGGAGATGAGGCGATGGAGGATTAAATCCATTCGCAAACTGGCGTTTTCTTTTTCTATTTGTTTCACGAGATAATATTGCTGGACGAACCCATGGATTGTGAATTTCTAGGTAACTGGGGGCTTTTGATATTTGTGCTGGACTGTACACTCTTTGGGCGATGACGGTGCCCTTGACTTGTATTCTCCTATGTTTTGTTCTATATTGTTGTAGGTGCTTTTTTTTTGAATGAGAGCATCTGTGAAGTCACCGACAGCTTGTCACTTTTCTCCCAATGTCTCAAGACTATAGTTTCATTTGATCCAGAATCGAGAGGCCGAGGTTAGAGCATTCAGTCTGGCTTATTATTAGCTCAGATATGACGGGGGTCTGGCCAGGGCACATATCGAGGCTGTACTAGTAGCGCATTCATAGATGGGAAACTATTATGGATCGTTTGTTTAGGAGAATTGATCAGATCAGCCCCGCACTATGTTTTTGAGGATTTTATAATTAAACTACTATTTGATACAAACCTATCCAGATGAATACGGGAGTACTTGTATATCAACACGATTTACTAGCCATCCCATCTCTCCACGGTAGTATCCATGGATTGTAAAGAAATCGTCGCTGTCCTCTCTCTATTGTTGATAGCATAGGGTTGAAATCGGCCGGAATCTAAATCCGAATAAGTTCACGTCGGATACTAGTAGTATCAAATGAACTACAGTACGACGGCCGAGCTGCTAGTCTCAATCGAGGCTATTTCTATACCTTACAGATATTCTTGGAGCAGTGTAAGGATTGATTTTCAAGTCGAAGCTCTCTAGTTGATCTTTTTCTCTCACTCACGGTGTTAAAACGATAGGACCTACCATACTACGTGGGATACGGAACTCTCCTAGCCGACATCGTATGTCTACTACTTTGGTACGATTCAAGACCGGACTATGTAGTAGCTTTGAGGAGCGTCGAACCATTTTATATGTCGCAGAGCTCCTTCCAAACCGAATTGTTTGTCCGACATGCTCTTTTAATCTGGTCAAGGTGGTGGTGAAGCTGGAATTAGCAACCAGCCACAGCCCACCCACACATTCCTAGTGATTGAGATACATGTCCTGTGCATATCTGATGGATGCTTCTGTCCCCATCCCCCAGGGACTTGCGGGGTTCTCAATTATATTCACCGTACGTAGTACTAGCAAAGGACACGTATGATGCCACTGGGCCGTGTCTTGCCTCCCCCACAGTGACATCGTATAGCTGCAGCTGCATGGCTGACCTTCATTGCATGTGACGGCCCCTCATCTTCGCCTCTTATTTCCCCGTCATTCATGTCCTGATGACCTCTGTTCTGTGTATTGCCCCTCCAATCTCCACTATGTGGGAGATACACACAATGAGAATTGGAGGGGGTTGGCTAAGGGTCTCTCTCGGGGATCATCCACCGACTCACCGATAGCTCCGTGGGTTCAGTGAAGTCATGAAATGTAGTGGCCCCACAGCCTCGGGATCAGCAAGTCCCAAATGCAAGCGCCCAGCCTACTCATCGAGGGGAGGTCCAAACTAAAAAGGCAAAGAACCCCTAAAGAGGCAAGTGAGGAGTGGCCAACGGTAGCGGGGGCATTCATAAGGAGTTTGTCAGAGTCAAAAAGTTCGCCGCGGACCACTTCCCTCCCGCTCTGACGTCTTCTCTCCTCCCCAACACTTTTTCTCGTCTGGTGCCATCTCTGCAGCTTTCTGCCCAACACTCAATCGATCACCTTGCAAGTACTCTGGCTACCGGATCCTTTCTCCTTCAAGTTAATCTGTGTAAGACATCTCATTCCTCATCCCTCAACCCTCATCACTCCGATTGAATCAAGGTCCCCTTTCCCGCTGTGCCTCCTATCAGTCTGGGCTATCGACTTGTCGAGAATTCTTGACCAACAGTCTATTCTTCAGGACGCGACTGCATTTCGCCAGTACATGATGGTGGATTCACCTCGCATCTTGCGGCCACGTCCCCGCCGCATGTTTGACGTGACCCCGGCCTCGAATGAGTCCTCCGAGCCCGCAACGCCCGCCGAAGCATCCAACCCGGACTTGCTGAGCCCCAATCTCCAAGATGGCGAATCGAACTCGACCAGCGTCAGCCGGACCGGCTCAATCCTGAATCTGACCTCCTCGACCCTCTACGGCATTTATAAGCCCACCGCATTCGATAGCTATCGGGATGAGTCCAGCCCTTGGGGCACAGAAGCTCACACACCTGTCTCCGAATACCCTCCCGAGCCCTCGCAACAGGCGGCTGTGAAAACCGCCACAGAGCCCCGTGAGTTTGCACTGCGACGTACGCGTTCGCGACTTAGCCATGGGATGTTTCGCGGGGTGATTCTGCCCCAGGCACTGAGCAGTGCGCTGCTGTTTGGATTCGGTATTGTTTACGGGGTGATCACCATTAATCTGCATGACAATCACTGGATCACGCCCGTGAAGCTGGAAAATGTCCACTACTACGACTCATGGCAATACCTCGGATTCTGGGGATTGGCGGGCATCGCTTTGGGCAACGTTTTGCCTTGGTTGGACAGCTGGCGTGAACGCGAGCTCGAAGAGGCTGACAAGTCCAAGCGTGCGCGCAATGAGGATAATGACCAAGAGCGTACCCCGTCTTGGGTGACTGTGGCACGCAGTGTTGGAGCCTTTGTCGGTATCGCCTTCGCCATGGTATGTTCGAACTTTTCTTTACTGTCTCCAGTGGCTCTTTGCTAATGTTTTTGATTTTTTTTTTTAAAGCGACGACTTCCCTGGGAATCCACTACACAAGCTTCGCTGACCCTCGCCCTGGCAAACCCTGTCCTCTGGTACCTCATCGACCGAACTTCCACTGGTTTCCTTTTGTCGACATTCGTTGGTGTGACTGGGATGAGTGCTGTTTTGGGCCTCAAGCCTGAACTGATCCCTGCCTCTACCGGGCCCTCAGTGGGCTCTTCACTACTGAATGGAACTGGATGGGAGAACACCCTCGGAGCTGGAGTCACACAGGAGAGCATTGCGGTTCGCACCTGGGTTGCCAGCGTTATTTTCTGTGCTTGCGTCTGCTTCGGAAACATTGGTCGCCAGCTGGCGATCGGAGCTGGAAGCAAAGATACCCTGAAGCCCTGAAGCAAACAGTGCACAAGGGAATGTATCAATCACATCAAAGTCCAGGACAATATTTTGGAATAAGGAGGCACATTATTATCAGAACTTATAATTTGAAATCAAATCTTTATACAGAGATTTCTTCATTGAATAGAATTGTAATAAAATAAACTAGGGGGGCTACGAGTCTTCCAAAAATTCTGATTTGTTCCACTCCCAACATTAAAGAGCATTTTGTGTTTCCAAGAAGGATTGTAGTGTCAATCATTGCAGTTCCTGCCATTTGACACGATGGTCAGGCAGATACTGCACCCAAGATCGACTCTGTGTGACTTGCACACTCGGTCTCCATTCTCTATGACGATTTCCTGGCTTCCTAGGACGGATCCTCAGCGGAACGCTTTTTGAGAAGAATGTGATTATTTTGCGTTGTTCATGAAGAAAAAAAAAGAAAAGAGGAAATGCGCGCGCCCGCGAAAACCTTTTGAACCGCTGTATCATGTGACTGCTGAGTCATCGTTTACTAGCTTAGGAAATCGGAAGCTCGTGATTTGTTTGCCTGAAATTTGTGGCTGCCAACAACCCACCACCCCCGCGCCGATTGCGGCCAAAAGCCCCTCCAGCGGGACAGAATTATTTCTTTTCTTCACTTCAGCTGTACCCACGTTGCTATTTGGATTCAGGTATGTGCACCCCAACTTCAATTGAATCATCAATTGAAAGCCCCGCTTGATATTTCTGTATGCTAATTACCCTCAGTGTCGACATCATGTCTCAGAAGTCCGGTAAGGCACCTCTTGGCCTCGATATCACTTCCCGGAACTACTGCACAATAGTCTGGGGTTCCCGCTCAAACACAATGCTGATGCTCTCTTGTTTCCCTCCCCAACAGCTATCATCTCCGTCTATGACAAGACTGGACTGCTCGACTTGGCCAAGGGCCTGGTCCAGCAGAAGGTCCGTCTTCTTGCCTCTGGCGGTACCGCCAAGATGATCCGTGAGGCCGGCTTCCCTGTCGAGTAAGTCCCTTTAAAGACGTCATCACCATTCAAACAAGATGTGATGAGGCAGTTTCATAAGCACCAAAGTGGCTTTTGATAGTCTGTGATCGACATTAAATGCTAACAGTTGCTTTGCAGGGACGTCTCTGCCATCACCAACGCCCCCGAGATGCTGGGTGGCCGCGTCAAGACCCTCCACCCCGCCGTCCACGGTGGTATCCTCGCCCGTGACATCGAATCCGATGAGAAGGACCTTGCTGAGCAGAACATCTCCAAGGTTGACTTCGTCGTTTGCAACCTGTACCCTTTCAAGGAGACCATCGCCAAGGTCAACGTCACCATCGATGAGGCTGTCGAAGAGGTTGATATTGGCGGTGTCACTCTGCTGCGTGCCGCGGCCAAGAACCACAAGCGTGTCACCATTCTGTCCGATCCCAACGACTACCCTGAGTTCCTCAAGGAGCTCGAGGCTGGCGAGATCACCGAGCCCAGCCGCAAGCTGTATGCCCTCAAGGCTTTCGAGCAGACTGCCGACTACGACTCGGCCATCTCAGGCTTCTTCCGCAAGGAGTACGCCGGCAACGGTGTTTCGCAGCTCTCCCTCCGCTACGGTACCAACCCCCACCAGAAGCCCGCCTCCGCCTTCATGCCCCAAGGCAAGCTGCCTTTCAAGGTCCTGAACGGCTCCCCTGGCTACGTCAACCTGCTCGATGCGCTCAACGCCTGGCCCTTGGTCAAGGAGCTCAAGCAGGCTCTTGGCTTCCCCGCTGCTGCCAGTTTCAAGCACGTCTCTCCCGCCGGTGCTGCCATTGGTGTTCCTCTGAACGAGAAGGAGCGCAAGGTCTACATGGTTGATGACATCAAGGACATTGAGACCTCTGGTCTTGCTCAGGCCTATGCCCGTGCCCGCGGTGCTGACCGTATGTCCAGCTTCGGTGATATTCTCGCCCTGAGTGACATCGTCGATACCCCCACTGCCAAGATCATCTCTCGTGAGGTCTCCGACGGTGTCATCGCTGCCGGGTATGAGCCCGAGGCTCTTGCTATCCTGTCCAAGAAGAAGGGCGGCAAGTACCTTGTTCTGCAGATGGATGAGGACTACACCCCCGCTCCTGAGGAACAGCGCACTCTGTACGGTGTGCAGCTCACTCAGCACCGCAACGATGTTGTCATCTCCCCCAGCAAGACCTTTGGCAATATCATCACCCCCAAGGGCTCCGCTGCCCTTCCCGAGGCTGCCCTGCGTGACCTGACTGTTGCCACCATCGCCCTGAAGTACACTCAGTCCAACTCGGTCTGCTACGCCCTGAACGGTCAAATCGTCGGTCTGGGTGCTGGCCAGCAAAGCCGTATCCACTGCACCCGTCTGGCCGGTGACAAGGCCGACAACTGGTGGATGCGCTTCCACGACCGTGTCATCAACATCAAGTGGAAGCAGGGTACCAAGCGTGCCGATAAGAGCAACGCCATTGACCTTCTCTGCTCTGGCCAGACCCCCCGCAGCGAGGCCGAGACCATCGAGTACGAGCGTGTCTTTGAGGAGGTCCCCGCTCCCTTCACTCAGGAGGAGCGCGAGGCCTGGCTCCAGAAGCTCAGCGAAGTTGCTGTTTCGTCTGATGCTTTCGTAAGTTCTCCCATCGCCGTTCAGGCATTTATACTTTTTCCTCCTTTTTTGATATTCAGTGCTAACCGTGATATCTTCAGTTCCCTTTCATTGACAACGTCTTCCGTGCTGCCCGCTCTGGTGTTAAGTACATTGCTGCCCCTACTGGTAGCCAAAACGATACCCCTGTCTTCGAGACTGCTGAGAAGCTTGGCATCACTTTCGTGGAACAGGGTATCCGCCTTTTCCACCACTAAATGTTTATTGCGGATTTGGAATAATTATTCGAACGCATTTCGGTTCAAAAAAAGATACTTAGTTTATGATGATGATAGCTTTCTTGTTTATTAAATAGAAATTTACATATGTTCTTGATAATTGCTGGCCGATGTTATTTATCCCTTCCCTTTTTTTTCAATCTCTACCCTTGCCCTTTCAACACACCCCCCTCCGTTCTTCGTTGACCTGACTCAGAAGACAACGTTAAAATACTTTTTTGCGAAGCTAATATAATAAGATCCACTATAGACCTCTTAATTCAACACGAGTCGGACTTAGTTTTTGTTATCATGAGGACACTTAAGGTTCTTAAGTCCCAACTGACCCTTGTTGCACAAATTACTAGAACCCGAATAATGATTGGACCATGGCCGCACAAAGCCTTGGACTTCGGCTCAACGTCCTCTGTGATACGGAGAATGGCATGCGCAGTGCACAAGAAACAATTGTGAGTAAAGATTGAGTAGGGTGGTATTCAGGGCCAAGTATTCAGCAAAATTCGGAAGGGCAAATCCCTTGCCTCTCATACTACGGAATGAAGGGAGGGTAAACAAGTTATACTGTACCTTGGGTAGTTGCGATACAAATGCTCAAGGTAATTTCAATTTGACTTGGATTCCTAGGTCTCAAATGAAAATGATGCTTCTTGTATGTTAACCTGCGTTGGAATTCTTATAGGTCAATGGGTAGAGGTCTATTGGCTCGGCGCAAATGCAGCCCATTCTTTGCTTGCCAACTTTAATGTTTAGACCAATCATACTATCACTCTCCACACCTATAGCCCCAGATAAAGCCAATTTGTATGCATATAGACCCAAGCTAGCCATATAATTACTAGCCGAGACTTACTGCATTCCTAGTAGTCCAGGTAATACACAAATGGTTTAGTAACCCCAAAATCCTCACACACTGGAAGAATAAAGCCACAACGAATACCATGGCAGGAGCGATCAACAGGCCAGAGAGCTCATTTAATTATGAGTGACCACGGCACTCTTAAATAGCAACCCAAAATTCTATCCACCTGTTCAAGGCTGGAATCATATTATAATGAAGCTATTTTCATCACTATTGATACTTGGGACTGTCTTCTTCACCGATGTATTAGCAGCCCCAAGTCCATGTCCTCTAGTTGGACCCGCCTTTCCATGGCCTACGCCAAGCTCAACAAACAAACGTCTTGATACGGCGCGAAAAAAAGCTTTCTGCTCTTCTCGAGCCAATTTTCAAAGCTGCTAATGGATCCACAAACACCATCGCTGTTCAGGCATTCGATACATTCAACGACAGCCCATTGTTTCAATGGTCATATACAGCTGACAATCTCGATACCAACTTGGGTGTTAGTCATGTTGATCAAAACTCGGTGTTTCGCGTTGGGAGCGTTTCTAAACTATGGGCTATGTATCTGTTCCTTGCGGAGGCGGGCATGGATACACTTTCGGATCCAATTGTGAAATACGTCCCTGAGTTGCAATCAGCCGTCTCGGGTGATGCAATTAATTCCGTGCAATGGGCGAATGTGACGGTGGGGGAGTTGGCGAGTCACTTAGCTGGCGTTGGGAGAGACTGTAGGTGCCTTTTTTCTTTCTAGGTTGAGACATCCTTGAAGTTCTGCCGCTAATCGTTGGCCTCATTTCAGATGGTATCCTTGATCTTGCAGGGAACCCGTCAATGACCCAAATGGGATTCCCGGTGCTACAACCGGATGAAGTACCGCCTTGCGGAAATCCCGTACCTTGTAATAGGACACGTATGCTATCAATGTTCTAGACTGTTTGGCTTGATCTATGCTAACAATCTTCCATAACAGAGTTCTTTAACGGACTTCTCCAAAGGCACCCTACGTTTCCCATATCTGCGACCCCGGTATATTCGAATGCTGCATTCCAGATTCTCGGATATGCCCTAGAGGCAATAAAAAATGATACCTTTGAAAACCTTTTTGAGAATCAGCTCGTGGGGGCCCTAAAACTCAACCACACTTTCTACACCACACCGAGCCCGTCACTCGGAGTTATTCCCCAAGGCCAAGGCGCAAATTTCTGGAATATGGATTTGGGTGATGAAAACCCGTACGTGAGCTTAAATCCATAACTATCTAGGAGCATCTCCATATCTAATACTCCCTAGAGCTGGTGGCATTTACTCCTCTGCCAATGATATGGCAGCTCTTGGCCGGGCAATCCTAAACAGCACCCTTACGGATCCTCTCACAACAAGACGATGGCTGAAACCTCATTCTCACACATCTTCCCTCGCCTACTCAGTCGGAGCCCCGTGGGAAATTATATCTTTCCCCGCGCCCCGCTTAATTGACCTCTACACAAAGTCTGGAGATATCGGGACTTATTCTTCCATCCTTGCATTATCCCCAGACCATGGTGTTGGCTTCACAATTCTTGTCGCAGGTACCGGCGGCCACGTTGTCGTTGCAATGGTTGCCGACCTTGTGGCACAAACTATACTCCCCGCGCTAGAGTACATCGCCAAGGATCAAGCGCGCGTCCGATTCGCAGGGACTTACTCGGCGCCTAGCGGGGGGGGTTAACTCTTCCATTTCCATTGCCACGGACTTTGGGCCCGGTCTTAGAGTCACCAATTGGACCAGTAACTCGACGGATATGTTCCAATCACTTGCGACATTACGCGGCGCGAATGATACTTCTCAAATTACCATTCGACTATACCCCACCGGTCTCGAGACTCCTGGGAATATCTCGTTCCGGGCCTTAATTCCGCCAGATTTGGGCTTGACGCCTATTGGTCCTTTTACTGGTTCCTGCATTACCTGGGTCACTGTTGACTCGTACATATATGGGGGTGTTGGTCTGGATGAATTTGTCTTTGCGTTGGATGACAATCTGAGTGCGACTAGTGTATCGCCTCGGGTTTTACGTATCGACTTGCAGAGACAATACAGGACTAGTGAATGAGCTGTCGAAATTCAAAGCGAAGCCGAATTCCCTTTATATCGGCTCGACGAAGTGAGGCTCGGAAAAAATGCGCCAGTTTGACAGAGAGAGAGATTGTATGTCAGTCTCTACTTATCTATTGAATTGCAGTGCATACGCGGGTAAATAAATGAAAATGAAAATTGCGATATCATTGCCCTCCCACTTATTCTCCAGGAAACGACTGATGGAGTCGAGATGGTACTAGTACTACTATTACTACCTAGTAGTAGAGACAGATCCCCAGATACTAGTAGTATATCTCCAGATACCACTGTGGGTACCACTACTAACTGCTGAAGCCCTAGGGCCTCAGGCCCGTGGCTCTGTTAGCCTTGCGGCTTTGTGGCCTTTATACCTACAATCTAACTAATCTACTTCGAACACTCCGAATTATAATAACATATGGCAATGCCCAGCCACTGCCTCAAAACGCAAAGTGAGAATTCTAGTCTACAGACTATCTGAACTATTTATCCTCTAGTACTGATCGTAGAGTCCGTGCTTGAATCACAGCCCCCATTTCCTTACAAATCCACCAAGAGCCTCACATCCAAGAAAGGATTAGCTTTTCGCAATAAAGCCGTTAATGGGGCAACCCATAGCAATCAGATAGGACCCTCACCGTAAATTTCCGTGCGTCGGTCGGGGTAAGCCGGGATGGGCCAGTCCGATCACAAAGACGTGTATCCATCCATTCGGATACAGACGGGGGAGACAGGGCGCGCCGCGCTTCACACTAAGCTTTTCAGGGCATCAGCTGACGACATTCCGACGGAGCTGAGATCTTGCAGGACTTTTATCTCAAAGCGCGTGACCTTTCATCCGGCATCGCGGATGCTATAGGTGTGGTACCCCATACAGGTACAGGTACAGGTACAAGCACGAGCATGAGCACAAGCACAGACAGAAGCACAAACACAAGCACAGTGCACGGTGCATAGGCAATTGATCACCGAGCTCCAGTCAGGTGGACCAGGAGTTTCCGATACTGGTAGCACATCAGCCTAGCCTTATTTGGAGATAATTTTCGCATAGTAGGTGTCTACTAGTATGTGCTCTTCTTATCACCAGGGGGTGCGCCGAGATCGACGAGGATCGATGATCACCCGAGGGCGGCATAAAGTTGTGCATGGGCGGGTACTCCACGCGGATCCACGAAGTCCGCGTCGGCATCGGAGCTGTCGGCCGCCGACTGTGAGCGAAAAGGGAAATCGCAAAAATGCCGATGTTCCGGTCGCGGGGTTTTTTTTTTGTGCAGGGCGTGAGTCAGACTTGTCCTGTACATTTTATCTCCGATCTGGCGGGGTCGGAGTAATTTTTAACGCCAGTCTTTGGTACGTTTCTAGATTTGAAATAATGAACTTAATAAGATAGGGCTGGCACATGTTGGCAAGTTCCGTGAACCGGGATGCTGGTCTCCCCAGATAAAGTCACGTGGATGTGTACACAAGAAGTCAACGACTACTTTGAGTCGTACTATACTCACCAATTCCCAAGGCCATACTGATCTCCAGGGCTTATTGAACATGCTAGCTCTCACGAGAACGTACCTCAGAGATAACAATTTCAAGTTTGTGTAAAAAATAATAGTATAGTATGCCATGAACACAAACATATATTTTCAATCATACTATATCCTGGTACACCTGTGGGCACTCCGTCCCAAAGATGCAGAGAACCTTGGAAGCCTTGGAGATCATTGAATTACTACTAGCTCACCCATGGGCTGCTCCAGAGGCGTCTCATGCAGTCATCATCATACCCAGTAGTAGTAAGTAGTCATGTTTACCAACCATAAACACCCAGACAACAACAGCCTCAACGCGATGGTGTTGACATCATCAAGCTGTCAGAGTGGATCGGTTCGGGGGTTGGGTACGCCCACGCCGAGCGACGATACCTGGATCGTACTCTCATAACGTTCTTCAAAGTTGCTAGACGTCGGTCCCCACTGGTCAAACCTTACAGCTGGCTACTGTCGGCGCCTGACTCCGACTCGATTACTGATTCATAATCATTCTGGCCCCGGCTGGCCGCACGATTCCCAGGGATTCATCTGCAATGATTCTCTACGGTCGCGATCGCGAACCATCACTCGCCCAGCTGTTAATTCCGGAGCTTTGAATGATGTCGTTTATTTTATCTACAGATTGAAGGTCCACTGTTTCATGTTCGCGAAAAATGAGACGAGTGGGACGGCATTCGGTGTCGCCGGAGACCCTGGCCCACACCTTTACGAGATTATCGCCGGAAGAGGAGATTCGTATTCTTTCCTCTTTCTCTCTCTCTTCTTTTTTAGTTTACCTTCGTAGGGCTGGTGCAAATTTGGGTCAAGTGGGGAAGCTAGGCGTGAAAAAATGATAAGTTTAGCAGTGTCAGGCTGAAATGGGGATTCAGTGCGAGACATGTCCACTTCGAACCGTCTTTTGTTTTTTTGCAATGGCTTACAATGGAGTGCGAGTGTCAGTGCCTAATCGTAACCAGGGAGACAACACTTGATGAAGAAGGCGCAGCAGGGATGCTACTTGGATTGGCTTGGCGCCATGGAGATAGTGTTTACCTCAGTGTGCCTCATCGTACACCGCTGGAAAGGGAAGAGAGTACGAGCATTCCTGAATGAGACACCGCCCCCCCATCCGCGAATGGGGAGAGGCTGATCTCATCTCAGCTCAGCTGCGCCTACCCAGGGTTGTCCCCTGCAAGGATGAGGTGGAAGCGGGCTTATCGCGAAAGCCTAGGGATCCGAGCCAGGCAGAGATCAAGGAGGGAATTGGGTTGCCTCCGCATTCGCAATTGCGTTTTACATTGGACATTGGCATTTCCACGCGTTGGAGCGTGGGCCGTCTCAGGTATGTCGCAGCCTGGATGAATCCGGGGGAATGCAGCGACTTGCCAAGCTGTCCCATATTTACAGCCGCATTCTACCCTACGCATGGAGAGACTAAAAGCCGAATGTCCGGACAAAGGTGAGTGGCTGTGATAAACGGAGTTTGTAGATCACGACAACCTAGGAATCACGACACGATTGGAAATCAGCGGCTGACTGAGAAGAATTGGAAATCATTGTACGAGGATCCGTTATCCGTAAAGCCTAAAACCATAAAGCATACTCTGCACACAGAGTTGAATAATCGGAGAAAGGAGCAAACAACGTCCGGTTCGGTCGTAAAATTTCTTTGCTCCGCGGAGCGGCATTGGTCATCCGAGCGAGGAAAGTGGGGAAGCATTCAAAGGGTCCGGTCCGGGTGACTCATGACAATGGATTACTCAGAATTATCTAGAATCTTTGAGAGTGGGAGAGTGGGAGAGTGGGATTTACGGACATTGTCACAATTAAGGGCAATTGCTATTGTGATGAGTGTCAGAGTATTCTACACTCGTGCACTCCCTGCACTTCTGTACAGACTGTATTGAAGCGGTGTACATGCATATCCCTGGGGTAGACGAAAAGGGAAAGAGTAGAGCCAGGCAGTTGGGAAAATGAATAATAAATAATAAATAATTAAAAATCAAAAAATGAGAAATGAGAAATCCAAAAATCCCTAAAATTATTCAGCGGGCTCGGGCTCGGATCCACGCATAAATCGGTGGGGATCTTCGTCCGATCGGGTCCCGGACTTAGCACGGCTACGCGGGCGAAAATTATTATCTGCGTTGGATTTTCTGGGCTTATAACCATCCTGTCCCTCCGCTACTTCGATCTTACTACTTACTACTTACTACCTACACAACATCTGCTAACTACAAACTTCCTACATCTGAAGCTTGAACTTGCCCAGCAGACCTCAACAATACATACTAGTACTATCGATCTACTCCACGTCAACGAGTACCTCGCTACCCAGCCAACCTGCATTATCCACACCGCCTCCTCCCAACCGCGTCGTGACTGGATGATCGCAGTATTGAGTCACCACCTTGGCAAAACGAGTCATTTCCATCTGAGCTCATAAGCACCTCAACTGCCGCCATGGACCTCTCTTCCGTGTCCACTCCTACTACCCTCCCCAAGGATTCTTCCTTCTCCGCCGCCGCCTCCCCATACTTCGCTTCCCTCCAACGGAAGCGTCAACAGAAGAAGATGAGCATCACACAAACATACTACCTTGCTCATACCGCCCGCAAGAAGCTCACTCGTGAGGCTTCGCGGGCTGATCACGATCTCCGCCTACTGGTTGGCCATGCCAACCTCCTCGACAGCCTGATGCTCGATCTCGCCGATGCCGAGCGTGACCAAGAGCGCTGGTTTAACCAGACCGTTCGCGGCGCCACCAAGGAAGAACCCCGACACATCCAATGGGCCTCCACCGTCGTCGAAGAGCCCGAGGAGGATTGGGATCCGGAGGATGCCTCCGACCTGGAGTCGGAAGTCAGTGACAGTGATAGCGAAGACGATTCGGACTTTGATGAGAACGACTTCGTCATTAACACCCCCATTCGCCGCCGGGCTCCTTCGCCCCCGGCTCCCCCTCTCCATCCCCGAGCTGGAAGAGGAGGACGACGAGACCGATTCCGACTTTGAATATGATGACGAGGAGGACCTGGATGATCTCAGCCTAACCCGATCTCCCTCACGCCAGTCGCCGCCCGAGCTGCTGGCCGACGTGGACGACTCCTCCGAGGACGAGGCCACCCCTCCCTCTCCACCACAACCCACTCTCGAAGTCTTTGACGAGAAGGCGCCTACTACCATGGCCATTCCTCTCACCCCCGCCGACCAGGATTCACCCCATCTGTTTGAGCCAGGGTACTACGTTTCACAAGAACAGAGCACCATCATCGAGGCGTACTGATCTCGCCTGACTATGACGCCTCTTGTTTCTGCTCTTGTATACCACGAACTCTTGCTTTTGATTTGAAACTATTTATGATACCCTGATGGCTTGAACGACGAAGCGAATCCTTTTCAGCAACACCTCTTCTTTTATTTATTACATCATCTCCTCTTTTTTCTACCACGGCGTTTTGGAATGGCCGCATTTACGGACCATCATACATACATCCGACTCCAGTGGAGTCAGCATCTCATCTCACGACTACACTGATAGTCCCATCTGTTGCTATCTTTTCTTTATCTCATATTTTTTTTGGACTACCCACTGGAAATTGGGAACCAGATCTCCCTCCCCCCTCCCAAGTGCAGCGCACGAACAGAGGAGGGGTATGGTTTTGAGACGGTTTAACAGGGAACATGGAATTTGAATCCCGACCGGGCACATCTGATCTGTGCAAAGTACATAGAAACAAAAAAATACAAAGATTATACTACAGAACACACAGACTCCTACTCCTAGTAAAACACCAGGTTAAATCGGGCCCTGTCTTGCATTCCACCGACTTCCGTAGTTCGTTCAAGAGTCCTCCTTTTCCAACTCATTGGCCCCAACTGTCCCCAATGCCCCAACTGCCAACCACACCGGTTCAACGGCGCATGTGACCCATCGATGTCGATCGGACTGCATTGCCCTAGTGGATCTAGTGTAGGTTGTATGTAGGCTGTTGGCTGCTGCTAGTCTGCCCAACCAGATAACGCGGTGCTGGCGCATTCCTCACCGCTGGTGGATAGATCCAAGTCAAGGGGGGGGGTCGATAGTCTCCGATCATCGCGGCTAAGTCGGCATAGTCGGTCCGCTACGGATGCTAGTGTCGTGAAGGGTTTGTTTAGTTTAGGGGGGAAAGAAATTAGTGGGGCGGGTCAGGGTCAGGGCCAAGGTTAACAAGGTCAAGGTCAGCTGGCCGCGGACATGATGCGAGGAGGAATGCGGAGGACAGGACAGGATAGATAGGACTCAAGGAGGCTGGGAATTGGTTACGGAGAATAGTTATGTGTAGCGACCTGCGAAGTACGGAGTACCGATGCATGCAGACCATGTTGGGATGAGCGCATGTCGGCAGTCAATTATTGTCAATGCCAAGGTGATTGACGAAAGACGGGTCATAGTCATACTCGTAGTCATAGTCAAAATACGGAGTACTACGTAGTACTACAGTATCACATCTACTCCGTACAGACGGTTCTCCGCTGGGGCGTCGTAAGGCCGACAGATCCTCACTGCCCCAAGGTGCACGGAGGCTATTGGGTACGTACGAGTAGATACGGCGTGGTGCACGGAGTATCCAAGGCTTTTACCATTTGCGTTCTGCAAGGGAAGGTCCGTGTTTCTGCGATAGGGGCAGTTAGGAAACCTGACAGTGCTCCCCGAAAGAAGAGAAAGCACAAAGAATAAGCCCTGGAGGACAAGGGAAAAGTCGGGGTTTGTGATCGGCGATCTGCAAACTTATTCTCCCTTTGACTCGGACGTTGATGGCGTGCTACCATGGTACTCGCTGCTTTGACATGTGTGCAGAGTACTCCATCCGCCGTACAGAGTGCAGAGTTCAGAATAGCCCTGTACATCTGCAGCTTGAAGAACTGCTTTTTGAGTCGTTCTACTGGATTTAATTTCCGTATCTGGTTGAGGAGGCCTATGCTCATTGGCGAGTGCGAGAGCTTCAGGTTGAAGCCGAACTTTAATTGCGCTCTTGTAACTATTTTGCTGGGTACTACAGTGGTGTTGCAAAAGTTTGAAGTCTCTGATTGCCCTCCATCATCGACGGCCTTCTAATGGCAGAGTAGTAGCTACATAATATAGAATGGATTGGCCAATCTATTCCATATCAGGTAGCTAATCAATAGACTGAGATCAGGTGATCTCTGTACCCTACATATTTTGTACAAGTGAATCCCTTATATCAGTCCACTGTACTCGTACAACTTGAATGTACAACCATTTGAGAAGCGAATATCAATGTAGAGAAAACGACAATCAGAATGAGAATAGAGAAAGCAACTTTGCCATTAGACAGTCCCATACTGCATCGAATTGCATTGCCAAGTCTGCCTTTTTCAGGTTGCCTGGGGGTTCGTACCTACCAGCGTACCTACCGGCGTAGTCAAGACAACAGTTCCTGTGTAGGGAAGGTGCGCTCTTGAGCACTATACTAGTAAATAAACAACTTTTCCTTGGTCCGAGAAAGACCTGTAAAGGTTCTTGTCCTCCAATACTGGGCCTCTGCCCGCTGAAAAGGAGAATAATTCTAAGCATGGGCACGCAGGCTCAAATCGTCATCGTGATTATGGCGGTATATCAAAACATTCCACAGGCCAGAGTCACGGTGGGCCCGTGATCGCCAATGGGGGTGGTGCCTCTGTTGTAGTTAACACCTGGTCACCTACAACGTTTTGGTTGGCTCTCTGGCAGACCTGGCAAGTCATCTCACTTATGAATACACGAAGAATGTATGTCTGACAGAACTTGAAGCATAACCAAGCGGTTGCTTAGCCAAAATACACATCCGACAAGCAGGGATCTCTGGAAATATATCTGCGATGGACGATGTGGAGATGAGAATTGCCGAGAAGGGTTTCCGACTACTTCAAGACAGCCATTAGAACCGACACGATCCTATCACGAAGCCCAGATGCAAGAATTGCTGACAGGATTTCACACGAATTGACCACCGGAGCGGGTACAAACGTGAAGTCTCCCAAAACCGACCCGGTCGTCCGCGCAAGCGTACTCCTAGTAGCGCATGGAAGGCCAAAGGGACCCTCGATATTTCAGATGGCGGTCGTTTGACTTCAAGTTATGAGGGTGTAATAAAGGATAAGGTGCTGCCTCGAAGAATTCCCGGTATTATAACCGATCCGGACACACTGGCACTGGCACTCCATAGCCAGGTCAAGGACATCTCTGACGAGGGTGAAGTTGTCTGCTGATAGGAAGGATGTGAGGTCCGAACGAAACATAGTGCACCCGCAAAACTTCGAACGCACTACATCAGCGCCCACTTCGACGAGTATACCTTCCACCCCGGGAAGCTATCCGAGGCTCTTCAAGCAGAGCACAATAAGGGATTGTTGTGGCTTGTGCTAAAGGCCCAGTGTGCTCCTGATGGCGAAGCTGGGGAGAAGATATGGCCCATTGCCCGATGAGGAACCTGTTTTCTTGTATATTTATAACAGAGAAAGGCCTTTTCGACCCCTTTGGCATAGTTGAGACAGTGAACGCAGGAAGCTACAGATTCAGACAATGACCAACTAGTTCATGAGCAAGAACCACGTCTGAGAAAATATAAGACGCAAACCAGAAATCCCATGTCTTTACAACGCGTCGCGAGCACTCTCAACACCGGTATTCGGAGGTCGTCCCCTTGAGAGGTTTCTTTCTCGGTAAGGAAGACTATAAAGCGCATATGCTTGAAGGAACCTGCAATGAGCGCAGTGTACAATCGCGACAAACTACTTGCCCCCTCTCTTAGGTCATGCAATTTGCCTACTCTGAGTAAGTATCTTCTAGAGGCAAATTGACAGCCTATGTGCGCATCGATGCTGACCCGAAGTCAACAGTTTCTGTGTCGATATTTGATGGGCCTCAAGGTTCTTCAACAAAATCTTCACCACCGCCGCAAATACCACGAACAATGGCTCAACAGAGCCGGGGCAGTACCCCTCCTTCCTCCTGCTCTTCATCACTTTTCTCCTCTTTCTCCCCATCTTGGTAATTGTGTATTTCTTTATACAAATGGACTTGGTTTGAATACGCGAAGCGATATGCCTGAGGCTGCATTCATGGACAGTATGGATTTCGTCGTGTCTCGATCCATTGGCATCGCAAGACTGTGCAGAATTCTTCTGACAGCTGTCTCCAACAAAGCAGACGGTCGGAAGTACGCGGTTCATGACTCTTTGGAGAAACACACTAGATAGATTTTTGAAAGGCTGTATAATGTCAACGGAGACCACGCGTGTATCTATCTACGGTTTGTATACAATGTCATACTCTGATTTTATTGGTCGGACCACATATTGTCCCGAATGAGTAAGCATCATATCGATAACCCCTTACCGCCTGCGGAATTAGGCGACCCCTCGCTGCAAGCGTCACCATCGCGGTCACCCCGTCCCTTCCATCTCCAGCAAAACCTTGGAATCTACTGTGAAACATGGAGTCACGCATTTGCAAGAGTGGAATCTACAGCAACATTCCCGTGGCCGCGGTGCATGACTGAGCATATCACTCAAAGCTGCCTTCCAGTGTTGACATTCGCATCGTGTGGGACCATCTCCATCCATCTCCACAAACCACAGGACCCATGAGCACAGACAAAGCACAGCACCGAGCAGTCTCCTGATCAACACCTACTGATCCCCGGTCAATCGGCTCCCACCAGATCGGCGCAGCAGTCCGAGTTTTAACAAGAGAGCTCCGTAGAGAGCTCGTCTCCCAGAACAACAGACATCCGGACCACATCTCGCAGTCGGCCGGATCTCATCTACCCCTCGCTGCATGATGTCAGCTCCGCCTTCCCCTAAACCTTCAGTCGAGTCCGACGACCGTCCCAGTACAAGCGAAAGCGCACAACAGTCGAAAAAAACCGGTCATACTCGCAGCATTTCGTTTGAAGATACAAAGGCGCGCGATCACAGCCCACGTCGGCGTTCGATTCAGTTCAATGTGGGCGCCGCGGAAGCCCAACTCCCTACCCGCTCACTGAGCTTCAAGGAAAAACGGCTATCTTTCGGAGGGGAACACTTGATTAAAGAGGAAGAAGATGAGGCAGAACGGGAACAGCGACACCAATCCATTCCTCGCGGGTCGTCACCCCCACCGCCAAAGTACGTTCTGCTTGGATGATCAAGGTCCCCTTGTCAATACTGACCCGTGGCATAGAACATACGAACGAGGTGTTTCATTCGACACATTCGACAATCGCGATGCTCCCAACTTTTCCCTGACTCTAAACTACAAGC